CCCCAAAACCCCAAAACCCCAAAACCCCAAAACCCCAATAGTTTCTCTTTGTATTGAATCAAGTATAAAATTGAGAAATTAAGCATATTCCTGGGTATAATACTTTGCCACTTCCAGATATCTCGCTATAGCCATTATATAGAACAGACATACGATAATCAAAGTGGTATAAGCACTTAGCCTCCATATTTTGAAACAGATCACCGATTGGACAGGCCATAAAATCTCTGATTAACTTCAAAATATTCGGAACAGTTATGGCTGGAGACCATTGGTCGTCTATAATATTAACCAAACATGATTTATATCACTTACACAGGATATCCATTGAAATAAATCCTGTATTGAAGTCAATACTTGGATGAAAGATTTTAGTCGTAAAAACAAGCTTTGGTGGCTTGAATGGATAATCATTGGGGATAGTAATATTCACGCTATAATTTTTAATTCATAAGATATGATAGTTCTTACTTAAACATCCCTCTTTCAAATGGAGATCCTTCTGGTCCAATAATAAATCCTTCGTAATTGAGCAAGCTTTCTTCAGTAGGATAAAACCATACATCAGCTGATCCACTTTCTAAATAAAAAAATTACAATGCAACATATATTCACATCCTATCATACCAAAATTCATCCAAAAAGCCCCTGCCACAACCCCTGAGCTAAAAAACTGATCTCCACCCCATTTCCCTGCCTCTAAGCCTCCCACCAACCCCCTAAACCACCACTCCTACCCTAACTTTCCTCTCTCCCATCCTAAAACCCCTAAACCAAAGAAGACTTCTCCAAGCCTTCTCCTAATTGAACTTTTGTTTATCTCAAACTTAAACCTATTCTCTGCGACCAAATCAACCCACTGGCGAAGAGTCAGAAGAGGGGTTGCGGAGGAAGAGGGACTGAAAGCGTACTTTTCAAGTCGGACATTTCTTTGTTCATCCTTCGGATGTAAGCGGACGGCATTGTTTTGGAGGTAATTTTATATATGTGGTGTTGTTGTATGGGGTTTTGGGGTTTTGGGGTTTTGGGGTTTTGGGGTTTTGGGG